CCAAACAATGTTGCAACTGACCCCGGGGACAGTTGCAACATCTGACTTTTCACTTTCAAATACAAATAGTGAAGAATGTACATGTTTTAATCATCTATAAATGGTTTTGACTATTAACAGACAGATGTAAGTTTATTGTATTAAAATCTGGTTTGTCTAATTCAAACCATCTCTGAGTAACAGAGTCAAATGTAAAAAGTGTTGCAACTGTCCCCGGTCTCCCCTACAAGAAGACTCAAACGCTTTGTACTAAAATGCAMAAAATTGCCGTCGTCGTTTAGAACTCCTGATTGGCCTGGTTGAAATTCTACTGGAGAAATCCAAGTCAGTGGGAGAAAAGCCCAGACAGAGCAGAGACTGGAGATCAGAACCAAGCAGAACTGTGTCGGAGGGCAATGGGCAGGCTAGCAGAAGGCTAACTAAAACCTACTTCAAAGAGATGTTTTTGAAGGAACTGAAGATGTTTTAATGTACTATGTGGAAAATATTTGTAAGTAAGGTTAAATTTTTTAAGAAATCTAAAAATTACAAAAAAAAAAAAACTTTTATATGTGTTGCTCTATATGTGGGTAAAAGCAAGAAGTATGCAGAAGTAATTACATTTCAGATAAATAAATAAATAAATAATTCAATAAATAAATAAATAAATAACTTTAAAAGAAAATAAACCAGGAAAAAGTGACTGGTGAACCAGAAGTCATACAAAAAGCACACCCATGAGAGCAGTTTGGCCTTTCTCCTGCATGAGGAACAGCTGTCCCCAGTCAGTGGCTGCCGTCTTCACCCCAAACACCACCAAGTAACCCAGAGACAGCACCCACAGGAAGGGAGAGAGCAGGAACTCTCTCAGYGTGCTCTCACTGCTGCCTGGTGAGAAAGTACAAGTGGTCAGCTATATACACTGCTTATTCCCAGTACAACATGTTAGTAACCTGTTACAGTCTCTTCTGAACAGGTGACACTACATTTTTGAACACTTGTCTTGCTCACCTCCCTTTGCCCTCTTTTTGGCTGCTAACTCAATGCTGGGAAGGCCCACATCTTTTGGCTCGTTCTTCACAAACACCAGACAAACGAATGAGAAGGAGGCACAGAAAACCCCCGACATGGTCAGGATCGTTCTCCAGTCGTAGTACTGAAGTAGTACTGTGACCAAAATGGGACCCAGACTTCCAGCCAGGTTCATGCTGCAGGACAGCACGGACCACCACGTCCCAAACTGTGAGGGCTCATACCACTGTAGWGACACATGGGAGAAAGAAGTTTAAAATTACTAAAAAACAAACAAYCACACAAATAAAAATGCCTCCTGCGTTGAACACGGTGGGAGTGTGTGCGCCAAGACTCAGTTATAGTTGCCAGTGGTGGAGGTGTTTATACTTAGTGTTTACATTCTTGTTGTATTCTACAAAAGGACGTATGTAGCAGTACACTTTATGACTCATAAAATGTTGAGGTGCTAATGACATGAAATTTTCACCAGATGTCGGTAACAACCCAAGTGATCCATACATACAAAG